TTCCACGGGTAAATTATTTATAACAGAGTTAATAAGACCGGATCCTTTATTGTTGTTTCGCTTACGAACGTGAGACATCGTGTGACGCTATCGCTAACATAGCACCTATATTTATAGTGAAAAATTAAAAAAAAAATGCGCTTTATCGAACAAGAGAAAAAACTCCGAATTTATAATATTGATTCTCCCGAGACAATTCAACAGAGACATGGAGAGCTTTTTCCAAATACGATAAGGTCGTTGGTACTTGGGAGCTCGGGGTGTGGTAAAACCAATCTGATATATTTTCTACTAGTTGATGAAAACGGGTTACGATTTGAAAACGTTTACATATACTCCAAAACGTTGGAACAACCAAAATATAAATTATTAAAACGTATTATCGATGGAATAGATGGTATTAACATTTTTACTTTTTTTGAGAATGATAAAGTAATTTCACCCGAGAAAGTTTTACCAAATTCAATTTTTATCATGGACGATGTTATCGGTGAACAGCAACACGTAATAAGAGAATATTTTTCTCGAGGTGGTCACAATAAAATAGATATTTTTTATCTGGCCCAGAGTTACTCAAAAGTTCCTAAACAGTTGATACGTGATAATGCAAATTTAATAGTATTATTCAAACAGGACGAAACAAATTTAAGACATGTATACAATGAACACTGTTCTGGTGATATGTCCTATACACAATTTAAACATTTTTGTGTGACATGTTGGAACCGTGAGAGGTTTACATTTGTTGTTATTTGTAAAGATAGCGATCGTGATAACGGGCGTTATCGTTTTGGATTCGATACTTATGTAGTTATATTAGATGAAACAAATAATAAATATTATCATTTAAAACGTAGTCATGACGGAAGCAACTACTGTGTTAGATGAGCTAGTTAAGGCTAAGGAAAGTATTAAACGTAAATATATCGCATTAAAAACCGGATCGGATAATGTTCAACAATTAATGACACAGACATTAAAACCAATTATCGATCCTTTAACTAAAATATCGAATAAACCTCGATTGAACAAAGAAAATATTATCAATAAATCGAAGAACTCGATTTTGGACTACAATCAACAAGAAATTGAAAATTGGTTTCAGTCTACAGACTTAGATAAAATTTATGGTCCGAAAAAACTTCCAAACGGGCATATTATCTTGGGTAAAAAAGAAGTAAAATTCTTTGAAAACACTATACTTATTGACGGTACTGATTACCCATCATCATCGGGTCTTAATCAGTTATTATTTTTAAAAAATCCACTTATTTTTACTGATAAGCGATTTAGAGGTATATAAATCTATATTAACTCAAACATCGGTACATTTATCTACAGTTGGAAATAAAATAAAAAAGGGTGGCACTAAATATTCAACAATTATTAGTAAATTATTCCCCTCTGGTGGCGAGCTGTCTATGAAATTACAGAAAAATAACTTAGTGACATTAGTTAGTGTATTGGGATAATCCAAACGAGTTGGTCGACCGATTACGTCTACTTCTCGCGTCGAAGGCAGCTGGATTGCCAGCCTGGCAATACAGGTGTTTCAAACGAAATAATATCGATTTTCGACGAATTACACGAGGCTGGACTAATAAAGCGAATTCCCGATGTCTAAACGGGAAATCGCTAACGAACTTCACAAACCAGCAAGGAAAAATTTCACTAGGCGTCGAGTTAACGTCTATGGAAAAAATGATTTATGGCAAGCCGACTTGGTTGAAATGATACCATATTCAAAAGTAAATGGTGGTTACAAATACATCCTGGATGTGATTGATTGTTTTACAAAATTTTCTTGGGCGAAACCGTTAAAGTCTAAGACAGGTAAAGAAGTTACTAGTGCAATGTCTACAATATTACTTGATCGTTCACCGAAACTTTTACAACTCGATAACGGAAAAGAATTTTACAACACCACTTTTGACGCTTTGATGACCAAGTATGGCATACACAAATATTCAACTTTCAGTATTCTAAAGGCTAGTATCGCAGAAAGGTTCAAGTGTTCAACCGAACTTTGAAGGGAAAAATGTATAAAGAATTTACTGCTAGAGGATCACACGAATGGGTTTCAATTTTACCAAAGTTACTTGACGAATACAATAATTCATACCATAGAACTATAGGAATGACACCAATACAAGCAGATTCCGACCCCGCTTCGGTGGTAATAAAACATCGTGAAATTAATACTGTAAAAATTAAGTTTAAAGTTGGTGATAACTGATAACGTTCGTATCAGTACACAAAAGGGCGTGTTCACAAAAGGTTATTTACCAAACTGGTCTACGGAAATATTTGAGATTATGAAAATAAATAAAACATTACCCGTTACTTATCAACTACAAGATTATATGGGTAAACCTATAGCTGGTTGTTTTTACTCTGAAGAAATATACAAGACCAATTTCCCAAACGAATATTTAATTGAAAAAATTATACGTAAAAAACATAATCAAATGGACATCAAGTGGTTAGGATTCGATAATACACACAATAGTTGGATAAATACACGTGATGTTAAAAAATAGTGTCAGTCGTTTTATAACTATGAACGTGTTCGGTAGTTCTCAGGCGAGCGATGCTAAAAGAATTATATCAGATATTCAGTCAAGTAACAAAACGATACTAAATGACGTGAAACTCCAACAGAAAGAAATTGAAAATTTGAAAAATAATATTGTTAATATTCATGTAAAAATACAATTGCTTGAAAATAATATTCAATCAAGTAATAAGTCTTTATTAAATTGTGAAAATCATATGTCGAAGCTATTTAACGACTGTGCAGAAACTAGTACAGCGATCGCTATCCATGGACTTGACGTGGCCCAATTAAAAGCTGAAATAAATCGTATAACCGGAATATTTGATGAAAATTCATTACCGAATCATGGATCATATATTTCAGAATTAAATTCACGTTTGTTAGTTATGGAAGGGGGAAATGTTAAGAAAACTTGATTTTGTTCAGAAAAAAAATAGTTGGGTAGATTTATGCGGTATTGGAAAACAATTTTAGTTGTTCTATATAAGCCATCGCGTTTGGTTATCCTCTGTCAGTGTTAAAAATTAAATATACCTGTAATTATGTCGTCGGGTATCGCAGACATGCAGTGCGTTCTTGGAGCAAACAATAAATATTTTATTAAAGAATTATCTATAGTTGACACAGAATCATTTGCGAGCCAGCACTGGATTTTTAAAATTCAAAATCTCAGCAGGACAATAAATCTCGTAAAACTAATAAGTGGCTAGAACTTAACTATCATAAATTAACTGTAGAATATGGTGATACTGAATATGAAGAACTAAGTAGAATATTGAACTCTTTAAAGTTCTCTTGCATTTACGTCAAAGGTGAACAGAAAAAACAGCTGCTTACAGAATTTATACCTCAAGTCACACTAATCAACATCGAAGACCTTGGATGTCCACGTTTGGACGAAATATGTGATGGAGAAACTCACCCCTGCTGTATTTTTCATATGGAATTTAATCCAAAACAATGTACATTCTATAAAGTATTTGCTATTAGAAAATGGTTTGTAAATAATTCTTAAAAATTGTTAATGTATACATTTTATTTAATAAACATAATAAATAATAATATTATATTTTAACATTGTTTTTTTTATTTATATGTTAACATATATACATACATTTATATATATGTTAACATTTACAAGGTTTTTTAATTAAATATATACTAATATAGTCTTCCCTTGATCTGAAACAGAAAAACATGATTAAATATATTAATAAGTCTAACCATAAAATAAAAAAAAAAAGTATATAAACATAATATTTACATGATATTTACAAATTATTTACAGATATAAAAAAATTTTCAGGTTATTCATAGGTTATTTAGTTATATAATAATTTAATAAACATACAGACAAAAATAATAACTAAATATAGAAACCAATAATATACATAAACATAATATTTACAGAAAATGACACATGATATTTACAAAGCATTTACAGATATTAAGTATTAATGTTACATGATATTTACAAAGTATTTACAGATATAAGACATTTTTCAGGTTATTTAGTTATATAATAATTTAATAAACATACAGACAAAAATAATAACTAAAATATAGAAACCAATAATATACATAAACATAATATTTACAGAAAATGTTACATAATTTTTACACGATATTTTCAGATTTTAAAATTAAATATAATGTATACATGTTACTTATAATATAATCAACTATCTTCATAAAACTTAATATCCTATTCCCTCCATCATTGCTACCATCTCTGCTTCCACCCTCTCAAGTTCCCGCTCAAGTTCTTTAGCTTCCCTATAAAATAAAAAATTAATGTAAGTAAAATTCAATAAAATATATCTTTATTCATTTATCTTACTCTATACGATAATGTCCATGAGCTAAGGTATGTATTTTGTCATCTAGAATGACTCTCTTATCATCATAATTATTGTAGGTCAATTTTTTTGTATTGAGTGTCATTAGCTGGTGATTGAATGACCTAATTGAAATATTCTGTTTATAAACTACTAATCCGGATTCACCAAACAGACACCTCCGATGGTCCTCGAACGTCATGTGGTTATCAACCACATGACGTCTTATACCCTTTGCCCTAATCTCCTCTTTAGGTTGAATGGCTCCTCTCCCCTCGATTTTATATGCATAAGATTTAGCACGGAGTGCGCAGAAAGCTGTCATTATCAACCCGTTCGTTTCATCGGAAAAGTACCCCGGAACCTTACGACGTTCGGCGATATAACAGGGATGATCCTGTGGAAGGTTTGCAGTATCCAACCGGTTAAGTAAAATAGGGTAGTTTAATAGGTCCTCGTAAAAATCATCGGTGAATATATGGTACATCAGTGAATCTAAAATAAAAATAATATGTATGAATGTAGTTTTATAATATACATAGTTACATATAAATATATATATATATTTTACCAGTGTCAGTATACATGAGGTCGATTTTGTCTCCTTAATGTTTCTGCATTACCTCATAGTGATAGTCATACATCAAACTTTTTGAAACATCAAGGACCGCAAAACCTTAATTTTATAAAAATTATTATATTTGTCATAGTCAAATTCAATATAAAAAATATTTACCTATATATATGGGTCTACAGAATTCAATGATCTTATTTTCTAACGAAACAGCCGAAAGATTTTCCTTGTACGAAGTACAATGTTTGAACGTTGATTTGTTTATAAGTTTCTGTCATCGCCTGTCATTCACTACGATTTCCATTTTTAATCTATGCCTCATCGATTCAAGGGTTTTCCCTGTATAGTAATAAATTAAGTTTTTAAAAGTTCAAAACAAAAGATCAAAAGTTAAAAGTAACATACCAAATACAGCGTTAATCATGAGCTTAAAAAATTGACTCTCAAAATCATTTTTCGAGTTCTTCCTCAAATTCGTATTCAATAATATATATTCAGCTAACCACCCTGACTGATTGAATTGAATAACTCTATGCACCTATAGTAATAATAATAATAATAATAATAATATGAAATACATTAAAAATATAAATAGTTTTACTTTTTCGACTATTAATCCGTTTTTAATAGCCTGCTGAAGGTTTCTGTAATGAACAATGTAGTTTTTTTTTGACTCTAGGGTTGCCATCAGTTTTGGAACCTTTGAGCCGAGGGGGGTGGCGTTTTGAGGGAGAAACGGAAAGTCGTTATGCCGATCGTGCACTTCTTTAGGTTAGGTTATATCCACCTCATAAATACGTCCTATAGGTGAAGTGTCGTCTAAATCATTTAATCCTGCAAGCGTAGGTTTAACCCATTTAAATCCGTCAGTGGGCATGTATTGACTCATCGCGTAACCATAGAGATTATTACCTATGAATATTTTATATTAATAAGGTAGGAAAATATTTTTTTTTAATTATATTTATTCTTACAATCCTGATACACCAACTACGATTTTTCTTTCTTAGCATCATAATCTGGAACTTTCTTATAGTTTGCCGTCGCATACCGCTTGCTCGCCTGCCCCAGTCCTCACGAATACCTATAAAATAAAAATAATAATAAAAAATCTTTTAAACTTTTTAAACTTAAAAACTTTTTTTCTTACCTTTTTCGAACATTAACAACATCTCGTAATCTGATAAAAGCTGTAATCTAATTTTTGTCTTTTTCAACATACAATGAAAAGACATTCCTGGAGCAGTATAATAAAAAGCGGGATCGATGGCATAAGCTTTCATACATACATCTCGAAAGTTTTCAAATATGTCAGCAAGCAAAAGCACGTCAATTTTTTAAGTATAAATCAGAATATTCTCCTAATGTTTTACACGCGAAGTGCTCCCAAACCACCACAGCGTGATCATACTCCTCGTCTTTAATCGCTTTTTCTTTAAGTGTACTATAAAATTCGTCTTTCCCTGGTAAACTCTCCTCATCTAATTTTCCCCAACTATCCGTATACTCGTAAGGATATACTCCCTTACGAGTAACGAGTGACATATCTCCGGCAGCAAAATGTTTGCCTGTCTCGCGGAATTTGTCAAGGCCTGGGGTTATAAGATTTTCAGCAAGACTTTCCAAGCTCGACGCCATAAACCTCATCGTATCAATAAACCGTATAGTGAAAGTACTACTTAAATATTTTGAAAAAGAAATAAATTTCTCTTCAGTATTCGGGATGACATTAATAGACTTGGTATCGTAAGCTAGTTCAGAAATGATAAAATTAGAGTCATAGTTACTTAAATTGTGTAAGTAACACGGTACAAATTTCGGCTGTTGTAATATAAGATTGCATTTAGAACAAAGCGTCTGTCTAAATCAGTGTTTCCCAACCGGTGGTCCGTGGGTCAGTCATAGGTGGTCCGCGGTACCTTTCTTAGTTTTCTATTAAAAATTATTTTTTTTTTTTAAACAGCGAAAAATATTTTATTTTACCGTAATATACGGTTATCTTATCGTATACAAAAATCACACTAAGTAAATTATTAGTAAAGTTTAATAATTATATATAATAGTACACTAAAATAATAACAATTTTCCAATAAATTTTTGTTTATTCTTGTCAATGAGCAAAAAAAAAAAAAAAAAGTCTTCCTAGTTTGAGTAAAATTGAGGTGGTCCGCGACCTATAAAATATTGTCAAAGTGGTCCGTGGTGGTAAAAAGGTTGGGAAACACTGGTCTAAATTTACCTGTTAGATGGTCGTGGTCTCTAACTTTATCACCTCTGAATACTGTACGATTACATAAATTACATATTTTACATTCTTGGTGTGTTTTTTCTTCTTCATCGCTCATAATTAATGTTATATTAGTTTTCAGTAACTTTTCTATCCGCCTACCTACATCTACGATTGCGTCTACAAAATGTTTGGCTACCTCCTCACAGTCTACATTTCCTCGGTAAATAACCGGTGTTGTCGGAATCATATATTTATCTAAAAGTTATTTTGATACGTTATCAGCCGCCTTAATCACGAATCCGTAGCTCATAGCTTTATGTCTATGCATGACTGTTGTATTATTCCCCCTACTCTCATCGGTCTTCACTAACAGCGCTTCGAAGTCAGCATATATTACAATGGGATGTCGAACCGTATTTTCCCATGACTTAAATTTGATTTGATCTTCGGGTTTAGGCATTACAGGTAAAATTGCGTTATGGGACCCACAAATTATCATATGCTCGTCAAGCCCCGCTTGACCATTTTTTCTATGTTTAAGCTCTCTATTGTCAAAAGAAGTAAAACATCGCTTACAAAACACGCGACTCGCTACATGCCCCGTTGATTGAGAACGAATAAGCCTAGAAAAATTGCTTATATAAATATAATTCATTTTTTCCTCCTTCGTAATGTAGAGTAAATCAATATGTTCTTCTTTCTCCTTGTCGACGACTTTCAGCGGAAAAACAATATACGACTTAGTTTTTAATAAAGGTTTTATTTTTTGCTCCAGTCCATAAACATTAATACTAACAGAAGGATTCTTCCGTTCAACAATTTTAACTTCGCTCAACGGCGTAGGGAACGATAAACCTGAGAAGTCATATTTTTCAGAATGTTGGTGGTAATTATTTCCGATACGACACCTGTTTCTACCAGTGACATGTTTTGCCAGAACACTCCATTTGAAACAGTGTCGATCTTTATTCTGTGGATTTATCGTCCCCCGTTTTCTCTGAATTTCACCTGGTAAAGAAATATAAGTAACACCATTTCTCTCCATAACCTGATCTCCCTCCCCCTCTTCGCTTTCAATATTTTCGTCACCCCCTTCACTATCATTATTCTCGTCACCTACTCCTCTACCATTATTTTCATCACCTGCACCTCTACCGTTATTTTCATTATCGTTGTTTTGTATACACCCAGGACGATTAGAATAACCTGCACCAAGCATAGGTGTATACCTATAAACAGTTAGTATGATGCCATCTATGTTTTGTAATGTAAACCCACGTGAAACGTATGTCTCTTCCTCCTCTAATAGTTTTCCGTACGCCTGATCAACTATTTCGCATAAATCCGAATCTAAGAAAATCGCCCTAGCCGAAGTCTTAAACGATCTATTCTCGGACGAGTTTTCAATGTTGATTCGGTGATACGTAGCCTCCAGTTTCAAATTAAATTTAATAGGACTTTTCCGAACAAAAGATTTTAATAATTTTTTTAAATCTAATTTAATTGATGCGAGAAAAGTATTATAATCTCGAATATTTAATACATTTTTTGCGAAATAATTTACTACGATCCTATTATGCGAAGAACTTATCGCAATGAACCCTGCCTCCTGAACTACCTGCATTCGTATTTTTTTAGAATTTTTCGCGGTTTTCGTATTTTCTACGTGTATACGCTTTCCCCTATTCTAAAATAATTTTTAAAAATCAGAAAAAATAAAAAATAAAACCTAATACCACCCTTTCATAATATTAAAAAAAAAAAAATCTTACCTGTCTCATCGCATAGCCCCGCATCCTCAACATATTTCATCGTTTCCACACATATTTCGTCGCTCGCTTCATCATCAAGCCATTGCTCATTTTCGCGTACTGGGAGAATAGCTGATTCCCGCATGACTTGACTTCTGTTAGATGGTCCAGCTGGAGTGTCTGGTACAAGTATTTGCGGAGCAAGCTTTATGTTTCCATCTGGAATTATTCGACTGAGGGTCATTGGTTCTGGTTGAATGATGGATACACTGTGGTGTGGAGGAACAACTACCTCATTATGTTGTACTGTAGGTAAACGAGCAATACCTTAAGAAAAAAAAATTAATAAAGAAACTAAATAAATTAACTTCAAAAAAAAAAAAAAAAAATTTAATAGGAATATCAAATGTTCTGTACATACCATGTTTGATCTTCATATGGCGCGCCAAGTTAGACTTGTCGGAAAATGCTAAAATGCAAGATGAACAATAGAGGCGGACTGCATTATGCGTTTTCTCGTGTCTAGCCAAATTATACTTTCGCTTGAATACCGCAGGATACTTACCACAGTTAAACATAATATTATATTCGTTAAAAGAAAAAAAAGTGAGAAAAATATAACAAGAATATACTTGATAAAATAAAAATCTAAAGGTCGTAATCACGAAATATGTGTTCACCGTGCAAAAGACTGGATACACACTGACCGATCATCAGCGCTTGACGGATCAGGGTACCGAGCGGCCGTTGATGTCTGGAATTATTGGAGGTGGTAAAATGTTAAGCCATGTATTACCAAAATATTATTTAGACTTTGGCTATGATAAATCCTTGATATATGAATTATAGAATGCGTGGTTTTAAAATAAAAATATATACATATATTTTGAAAATAATAAATAATTCAGTCATTACTCCCCCCCCTTCATATAAATCCATGCACCGGTTCAGCTCTTCATCTTCTTCATATGCTTCCATATGACAGATCATCTCCTCATCATTTCCGTCATCTCTCCAATCCATTTCTGGTGATTGCCCTCCAGAATGCCACGACGTGTTCAAAATTTCCCCGACAATTAACAAGTTATATTCCGGGGGTACCATGGGCTGAGAAACTAAGTCCGGGAAGAGATCGTTTCTCACCCTCAGTGCGTAGGCCCTCGGAGTTGTTGGCGGGAACATATCGGGCGAAGCTTCCTCCAGAAAAACAGGTTGAACCGGTGACAAATATCGTACCCTATTCTTCCTCTGTGATAGTCGAGATGGAGATGGACTCGCAGAGGGTAGAAAGGAGAAAATACTCTATGCCAGTCACGATTTTCCACCTGCGTGTTCTGGTTAGTGGAGTAACCACTATCTCCGGATTGAGTCTAAATAATAATAAACAATTTATTTTTTATTTTATTTTAAAAAATAATAAACTTACCATCTCACCATACATGAAAATGTCATGCACGTTGGCTTCAATGACAACTTGAGACTGGTGATCTGTATTTTGACTACCTTCCATAGGTATTCCCGCCAGACGTCGATTGAACTCATCTCCTTCATACATCGGAGTACTCGGCGAAGAATTATTAGACATCTAAAAGTCGAATAAATTATATGTAGTTCTTAAATATCTTATGAATAATATAAAACAAAATACTCACATTTTTTCCGGTAATGATTACCACAAACGAAATATAAAAAAAATAATAATAATAATTAATACCTACTATGGTAAATAAAAATCTCGTATAAAAAAACTGTAAACGCGAAATGTGCGTACACCGGACTAAAGACTGGATACACACTGAGCGCTCATAGCCACATGAGGTAAGGTACCGACCGTCCCTCGATTTCAAACATTTTTATAGTGAAGGAGGGAGAGAAACATTTGATTTAAACATTTACTTTGATAGAATTATGGTTTTTTTAAATATTTTGAAATATTTCGAGAAACATTATACTAGGTAAAAATAGATATTATGTGAGTAAAGATAGTGAGCATATAGTTTTTCTGAAATAATATAAACTGATGTATGGTAATAAAGAAATATTATTTATTAGTAAATTCATTTTTAATAAATATTTACACCTGGGTTCTTATTCTGTGAAGAATGAAACGAGAAGTGTCGAAGTCGAAATCTAAGTAGGTAAGAATGGTTAGGACATTTAACGTCCAATCCATTTCTAATTTTTCCCTAATGCGTTCGGAATCGAAAATCGCAATTCTCCTGAGTCCATATAGTAACTGCATAATGATATAGTA